GGAGCGTTTCTGTGCTCCCCTGCTCTGCTCTTTGCTTCCCCATGCTGAGCTGCTGCTAGCAGTAATGTGGCCAAATTGTTTCCTTGGCTGCTGCTCTCGATTCACTCTGCTCCATGGGGAGCTTCAAATGTGCCCATGGGGCACCACAGAGCTGAGATCCCTCTAACCCTGGTGTTTCAGAAATGATGAAGGCCAACAGAGCTCTGGTTTCCACTTTGGGAAATGATGCACAGTCGTAACAAGTCATTACCCTGAAAGAGGAATTGAGTGCTCATACCGTATGTGGTAACTTCCACTAATTAAAACACATTCTTTTTCAGCTGTTTTGTACGCTTGATTGTGCATGAGGAAAGGCCTTTTTATTCCCCAATTGTGACTGGTGCAATGCTGCGGTATATTTACAGGGGAGCTAAGTATGGAGAAAACATGATTAAAAAGACACGTTTTTTACTTTTCAGTGATAGGCTACTTAGTTTTTGCCCAGGGAGGTGGTGGAGTCACCATCCCTGGCAGTGTTCAAGAGGCGCCTGGATGAGGAGCTACGAGATGTGGTTTAGTAGCTTGTGGTACTAATAGGAATGGGAGGGTGGTTGGGCTAGATGATCTTGCAGGTCGTTTCCAACCTTGTGATTCTGTGATTGGAATTGCTCGCGTTTTGGCAGACTGGCTTATTTGAAACAGAGAGAGAACAAATATGTTATAATCACTCTTGTAATTTGTTTCTGTCCCCCAACTTCACTTCTGCTCCCTCCCCAGCCCCTAACCCAGTGGTGGTGGGTTATCATTATCCACTCCTGGCCTCTGCGCCAAAAGTGGAGTCAGCTGTTTCATTCTCTGAGCAGGAGAGATCTCACACCATGGAGGTACACAGCTCACTCTCATAAGATCTGATATTGGCTTTTTTTTAAAAGAGAGAAATGTAGGTGGAGGAAGTGTGACCCCAGAGGCTGCTAGCCTAACTTAATCTCTTTCTGACAGTGACCCAGGACCCATTTCTGTTGGAAGATGACAAGCAAACCTCTCTGTCTTTGACAGAGCATTTGTGGCAGATAAGAGGATCCAGCCACAGTGCACAAAGCCTGCAGGCTGCTGATGGCCACCACATGCCATAAGGCACCACAGGTCTTAGTTCACTTTCTGGCATGTACCCCTGGGTTCCCCTTCAGAGCTGATTCTAGCTGTGCTCTTGGATGAGCTGGAGCTCTGCGTTTAGGGATTTGTGTGGTAATCCTCTCACTGACACTGTGCATCAACACACCGTGGAGGTGGTAGTGCTTCTTTTACTAGGAATGCATTTCTTATTGCTGGGAGGAGATAAATACCTCTTCATAAAATTCATGTTTGGTACTAGTAGGATGTGTTTGTTAGGTGCTCAGATGCTCTGACACAAGCTCATTTTACCCCATCTGCAGCAGAAAATGGAGACTGTGGGATGAGTGGGCAGTGTCCTGAAGGCAGTCACTGGAGGTTGTGGTACAGACAGAGCCTTCTTCCAGGCTTCTGAGTAATGCACAGTATCTCAAAGAGTCTCTGCTGTGTTCCTCCAGCACATTCCTGTCAGTGCCCTATTGCTCTCTGATCACTTCAATACAAGGCAGCTCTCTCTGTCGTGCATACACATTGGTTAGCAGCTGCTTTTTGGATCAGATTTGTGAATGCAGTGCAGTGCATGCAGGGTGCCTGCTGGTAGGCCCCAGAAGCTTGAGAGAAAAAGCAACAAGGCTGGGGGATGATGAGTGGAAACTGCCATGAGAAAAAAGATGTCATACCATAAAGCCAGATCATGGGAAAACAAAAGCAAACACTTAGAAACATTTATTCACAGCTCCTCCCCCTATCATCCCCCCCTCAGAGGAGTTTTGAATAATCTGTTAGTCAAAGTTGCCAAAGTATCACAGACAAAAATGCATGGCTTCTGAAGTGTTGCAATTGTACCCAGATAGGATCGAAAGTGCTTTCAAAATTGCATTGCAGGTAGAGCCGTGTGTTGCTATCTGAAAAATAAGTAACTGATTTAAATGTATAAGGGGAAACAAGTGAGCTCAACCATGAAGTAGGTCTCAGCTGACTTTCACGAGAAGGATCATTTGCATTCAGCCTGCTGGTGAACCCAGAGGAGCACTACAGGAAGCCATTTCACTGCCCCACATGGGGCGTGCTGATGGGCTCTTAGTTGCAGTCAGACAGGGAAGTACCAGAGCTAAGGTTGGCTGTATAACCTTTGTCTTTCCTCCCCGTATGTCACAACACAGGCTTTATTTCTGTAATCCAACAGTCATTTTCTACCAGCCCCCTGCCTCTGTCAGTGCAGAGGAGGCACAATGTAGCCTGGATGAGCTGATCCCTGCAGCTCAGTGTGCTGTTAGTATGTGGTCATGGACCTTGCTGAAGAATTTTGTTTCCAGCTGATGTATAGCTTGTCCCACTGAAGGGACACACACAGGACTTCATGGACACAATCCTCACACCCTTAAGGGCTGAAAACCCTCAGTTTGCATATTTGAGACCAGAAATATCTAGCATGTAACATCTCCCAGTTCTTGTCACCCTGTGTCCCTAGTGGGACACCTCCACCTAGTAGGTAGGGGGAGCACAGCCCCTGAGGCCTGGCTTAGCTGTGAGCACTGTTTGTCTCAGTAGATCAGAGCTGGGGCCTCCAGTTGGCCACTTGGAGAACAAGGAAAGGTTGGAGCGACCTCATGTAGCAGTGTGGGTTTGGGACCCCGTGTCTCCTCTCATTTCCCTTTGCTGGATTATGAGCTTGCAGCTGGGAGGCACCAGGCTCTTCTCCTTCCATTGGTTTTCTCTGCCTGCCCTGGCCTGTCCTTTGGGCCGTCGGGGAGCACAGACTGCAGTGCTTTGGGCATCCAGGTATGGCCAGTGCTTGTACTGTACCCAGTTGGGCTGCAGGACTTAAAGTGCCGTAAAGTGAGACCTGCTATGTAGGAAGCCCACACAGTTACTGTCATTAACTTTTGCTTTGTAAGATTAGGGTTAGGTTAGGTTTTGTGTCCAGCCCCACCGCTAGTCTGTTGCTCACTGGGTTGGTTCTGATGCAGACTGGGACTCTGTGCAGTGGGTTTGCCTTGTTTCATTGTCCCCATTAGTGACAAAACCAACGCACTGATTTAAAGTGGGAATGGGTTGATGGTTGAACTAGATGATCTTAGAGATCTTTTTCAACCTTAATGATTCTGTGATTCCATAACTCTAAGACCATGGTGAATTTGAATTAGGAATTGCTCTACTCTTAAAACTTCTTGTCCGATTTCCTTTGGCCTTGAGGATTTGGTCCTGCTCTCTGGTCTCCCCAGGTAAGGGAAGAGAAAGAAGAGAGAAGCAATGTGGCTGCATAAGGCAGCCTTCATCCTCTGAGCAGCAAGTGCCTGTGGAAGGCCAAGTTACTTACAGCCTCGCTCCTAGGTGTTAGACTCTTGAAGGATATTGATGTGCCTTCAGGGAGGAACCAGCAGCAGTTGGTTGGACTGAGTTCTGTCTTCTTATCCCCTGGTAGTCCCCCAGAGAAGCACAGTAAGTGCAGCCTCTTGTAACAGTGGTGTTTCTGTGTACAGCTGTGTTATTGTGCCCTTACATCCAGGCTCTTCAGAGTCTGCCTCAGCTCACTAATGGCACTTCATCACCTGTAGTGGGGCCTGCCTGCTGACTTGTAACATTTCTGCTGATTTTTCAATTTTTTTTCTTCTTTTCATGCTCTTCTTGACTGTAAGTAAAGTCTTCAGTTTTCTCTTCAGACACATTCTGAGCATGAACAGATGGGCACAAGCAGCAGCTCAGGTGGAACCAGTGCAGGCACACCATGCTCCCCTGGGAGTTGCACCTGCTCTGTTGTAGGGAGAGATGCCCTTCAGTTCGGGTGCGCCTCTGAAGGACATTGCTTCTTTCCAGGTGTGATATTTTGATGAAACACTCTTTTTATTATTAGAAGATACAGCCCCTACCCCAGCTCATCTCTAAACCCGTAAAATCAAGCCGTACTTACGTTGAGCTGTGAGAAGTTGGTTTTCTGAATATACATCTGCAGTAGCAAATGACGGTCTAAAATCAGATTGAGGCACTCTTTCCATGGCATCTTTCCTGACATCCCTTAGTGTTCAGAGGAGCTGCCCATCAATCTCTGCAGTCATTGCATACTTTTCCCTTGAATTCATCCTCCTTGCGGAGCGTGACTGCCAGCAGCAGCTTGACAGTGGGTAGTTTGTGACCTGTGCTGCTCAGAGCCTTCATTTCTCTTTGCCCTTCTCTGGCATGTGTGTGCTGTGTGCAGTCACTGCCTCCTCATGCACTGCACTGTCAGATCCTCAGGACTGGAACCATCAATGCGTGCACGTAGCATCTGGCAATGAGGACCCTGGTCTGCTGTGGTGCAAGTAGTTACTGTGAATAAATTTTGCTCTGTTACAGGAATTTTGTGATTGAGAAATAAGGAACAGTAGAGCATCGGTGTCTTTGTTTAGTATAATGAGTGCTGCCACAAGATCTATGAAGGGCCAATTACACGCTTTGGCTGTAGGATCAGCCTCAAGTACAGAGCTTTTCAGACCAGGTGTCAGAGGCAGGAAGAGAAGGGCAGCGAGCAGGCAGGCATAGAGCTTCATGTACTACCCTGTCTGTCCTAGCCTGCGTGTTCTGAGATGATTATCTTTTAATATGAAATATTATATTTAAATACACGAGAGCAATTATGTGTATAATAAACTGGGAAAGCCTGGCTTTGGATCTTGCTGATATTAGGAAAAATTTCTTCTCAGAAAGAGTGGTGAGGCAGTGGCACAGGCTGCACAGGGAAGTGGTGGAGTCACCACCCCTGGAGGTACTCAACATACGTAGCTGTGGCACTGAGGGATGTGGTTAGTGGGCATGGTGGGGATGGCTGGTTGGTTGGACTAGGTGATCTTAGAGGTCTTCTCTGACTTTAATCATTCTATGACAATAATTGCAAAGCCTGTCATTTTCATGTAGCAATTGTGTTTTTGTTGCAGATTGATGTCCTCAAGGCAGATGTGGAGAGCGCGGAGTGGAAAATTTTGGAAAACCTGATCTTGGAGGATGTTGTTGAGCAAATAGGGCAGCTGGTGTTTGAGGTGCACATCCACTGGCCTGGTTTTGAGGTCAGCGGCAATGACAGCACTGTGGTGCGGTACTGGTACAGTCTGCTCCGAGAGCTGGAGCTGAAGGACTTCAGGCTTTTCCATACCTACAAAGACTTATCAAAACCACAGATGCTTCTGAAAAAGGAAGCCTTCAACGCCAGTAGCTGTTACACGCTGAGCTGGGTGAATACAAGATGGAAATAGCAGAAAGGAATCTACGACGTGCGACTGTGAGCCATCTGTCCCGTAACATTATTGAAGAGGACCTGAGAGTCACTGGCTGAAGTTGCCAAATAAGCATACAGCGAATTGCTGGTGGAATGGGCTGGCATTTGTTTTTAAACACTGTCAAAAGAGCTGAAAGTGGAACCTGGTCTTTTTGGCTTGTTTTTAGTTCAGGTGAAGTTCCACAGTGACTTGTCTAGCACTGCACCTGGCTGCCTCCTGGCTCCTTCCCACTGAGCTCCCTGGCCCTGCCTCTCTCCCTGCCAGGGGCACCCGGATGCTTGCAGAGGTAGTGGTTCTGGTCTTGGGGACATGGGGACATGTCGTGCTCTGCATGTGGGCTCTGAGCACTGGCATGCAAGATTGATGCAGGGTGCTCCCAACAACCTGGCTCAGCCATTCCCTTAGAAGCTAAGCAATGAGAGGGAGCTAAAAAGTATGTAGCAGGTGGTTTATTGTTATTTTAATTAATAATTTTGACATTAAACTTTGCATTGAAATACAAGATCACACCTCTTTCATGTCTTTCTTGTTCTTTGCAGGGCTTGAAATGCCTGAATGAGTCAGGCCTTGAGCATCTGTGTTGGCCACAGGGGCTGCAGAGCTTGGGCTTCTTTGGAAGAGGCTTCAAAACCCCCTGCCATGATGGTGAGGGCCTGGGTGGTGCAAGACTTGTGGGACTGGAGAGGGTTTGAATTTCTTCAGTGAAGGTCAGTTCTGTGTCCTCACACACTCAGATGTGTATCAGCGTTCCAAATCACATTGGAAATGTTAACTTGTGGTTAAATGTCAGATCCTTTCTGTTTTAAGAAATGCACGCTGGCTTTCAATCTGCTGCCTTTCAGCTCCACTGGCAGTGCCTTGTTGTGCTGTGTGAAGTGAGTTATTGCCTCTCTGGTCCCATTTTTATTTCCTTTTAAATACCAGCACATCCACTTTAGTGGCACTGGGATTTTCTGAACTGGAGTTTAATTCTGAGGGATCTCTTTGTGGGTTTGCGTGCACTGAACACCTCAGCCAGAGAAAGAGGAGGACACAGAGGACAGACTGGGCCTGCTGGTACCCCCAGCTGTGCCTGTGAGCTATGTGGAGCAGTGCAGGAGGTGTGCACGGGCTCTGGGTATGGCTGCCTGGTTGTCACATGAATGAGCTCCCTGGCACTGTATTGGCTCAGGCCATCTGGGACCTTCCCATACCATTCCTAGGCACAGAGACAGCCCAAGTCAAGGACAGCTTGGATCCAGCCACCTTGTGTTGGAAGCTCTTAGGGCTAGGAACATAGAACCACAGGATGGCTGAGGTTGACAGAGCCTCTTGGTCCATCTGGTCCAAGACCTGCTCAAGCAGGGACACCCAGAGCAGGACATGTCTGGTACTGCTTTGTTTTCTGGTATCAGTGTGCTTGGTCCCTTTCCTGCAGTGACACAGAACAATCTGAGGGAAGAGCTGCTGGACTTGATGCCATGTTGCTGCTTGCTTGGATTTCCTGAGCCCAGCTGCTGGGCAAAGCACTCTGAGCAGGAGATGCCTTCTTAGTGGCAGCCACACTGCAAACCCTTGCGCTCCGAGTGTTGAGGCTGTGCAACAGCGCAGGGCCTTAAGGAGAGCCGCTGAAATGCATGAAGGTGTCACATCTCCTAAACTGAGCTACTGCTTGTTGGAACAATCAGACAGCTCATCAGGGAATGGCTGCACTTCCACTCTTTAAATAATGTGATGGCAAAAGGCCCGGTGTGAGCCCTGCTTCGTTAATGAAGCATGAAAGCACAGGCTGGAGTGGTAGGGCGCAGGCTTTTCCTCCTGGTAAGTGGTGGAGTACTCAGACCGGTAGACTGTTACATAGTGATTAAAAACCAAATTATGTTCTCTTTTACGTGTTAAAATTCCAAAGGGTTGCAGACCTTTCATCATGTATTGCCCCGAAGAAGAAATGTAAGTTAATTGTGTATGGAAATTGCAGGAAAGGTCTGGAGGTCTGTCTTGGGACCTGACGTCAGAATTCTGTGTATCCTCACCCAGCCTATGCTCTGGAGTGCTAAGTAGCATCAGGAGCAACTTAGGCGTTAGCAAATACATCTTCTGAAAGCAAAAATTCCAATAACTATGGCAATTAAAGAAACCTTATGTAAGATGCGGGATAGATAAAAGCAATTTATCATTCCTGTGGCAGTTACGCGATATTATAGGGAAAGGGAACAGCTCTCATTTCATGCTCTGTGCCTTTCTAAGCAGAGTTAGCACAGCCATCCTTTCTGAGCTCTTGTGCTCCCACCCGTTGGCTTTTATTGGTCTCTTTGACCTAAAGGAGCAAAACTTAATGAATCCATCTCCTGTTTCTTTCTATAAAAGGAACGTGGTTACTGCTGTGGGGCAAAGGCTGTGTGACTGCAGCTGTCATGCACTGCGGTCTGCGTTGGCCCCAGAGAGGAGCCCTGTGCATTCAGGAGCAGCTTTGGGGGAGCGGGGAGCGTTGCAGAGGTCATCAAATGGTTGGGAACACATCAGGAGGATGCGATGTACTGAGCTCTGCAGCACAGTCCTTAAAGTTGGAAAAGACCTCTAAGATCACCTAGTCCAACCAACCAGCCCATCCCCACCATGCCCGCTAACCACATCCCTCAGTATCACATCCACGTTTCTTGATGGCCTCCAGGGGTGGTGACTCCACCACTTCCCTGTGCAGCCTGTGCCACTGCCTCACCACTCGTTCTGAGAAAACATTGTTTCTAATATCCAACCTCATCAGGAGCACCTCTCAATTCTGAAAGATTGAAGAAAGCCATAAATGGATGTGTCTGGCCTTTCTTGGCAGCAGCCAGCAAGGCTGGTTGCACACCTGAAGAAAATGCACTCATTCACCCTGGTGAATAATTCACAGCTGAGGCCATCTGGTTAGTTCAGAGCCCAGGCTCTGGGAGCTCCATTAGCTGCTCTCTTGCCCTTGAAGGGATCCTCAGGGTTACTCAGTAAGAAGTCACTCCTGATTTCTTGCTGCTTGTTAATACAACGTGACATTTAATTGCAGTCAGTAGAAATTGACTGAGTTTCAGTGGTGGTGGAAGGTCAGAGCTGACCCACATTCAGAGCCACATCTACGCTTCTCTCTGCAGCAACCAAAGAGTATTCAGACTGTGAACTTCCTTACTCTTTGCATTGGATTTCCACCATACACGTCTTTTGTAGCAGTTTGCTGAAGGTAAGCTCTATACTCGCAGCACAGCTATAGTGCAGGCTGGTTGTTCTGTTTGTTTTCTCTTAGCATTGCTTCATGAGAGTTTAAACTCCACCAAACCCCTCTTATGCCACAGGGGAAGTGTTGAGGTGGTGAATTACAGCAATGGTGGCTGTGGGGTGATGGTGTGGTGGTGCTGGGGGGGGCTCTGCAGGTCCCATAGATGTGTCTGTGTGGCTGTCAGGAGGCCCAGCAGGATTCATAGGGCTGAAATCACTCCCCAGGGGATTTGTGTTGTTTTCTCCCTTTCCAAACCAGAGGGCACACAGCTCAGTATTGACACCTCTCAGCCCAAGGACTGAGCCTGGTCCAAAGGACAAATTCAACACATTTGCTGTAACACCTGATTTTAGCAGTCTCCCAGTGGTGCAAAGCACAGTGAGTTACACAGGGGCTTGCAATGCTTCCACGTTTGGAGCATTTTAAATATGTTCTGTGGTGTAACCAGGTAACAAGCAGCTCTGAGGTTGGTCTGCTGGGGTACCTCATGTCCACGCTTGGGTGAACATCATCTAAACTTATTTGTAAGAGCTTTCAGCTCTACAGGGAGCTTCTGCAAACAGAGCCTTTCCACAGGCAGTACTCTCCAAGTGCTGCAATACAGCAGTGGTGCAGTTGGCTTTGTGGGTTTTTTAATTTGTTTTAGTTTAATCAGCTAGCCTAGCAGTCAAGACCTATTTTACTGCAAAATATAACTTAAATTTTGAGTATATGTCAGTGAAGTCAGTGAGCAAGTCTTTCAGTAGTCCCCAGGGGCACAAACTCCCTGTCAGCTGACTTTTTTTTTTTTTGTCAATAGGCTTAATTGCTTAAAGTCTTGCAAGCAAAGCTTCCCACCCTGCCCTGTTTGCCTCTCTCACAGGCTGCTCCTTGTACAGAGCTTTTCTACCCAGGAGGGGGGAGGTTCTGTAACGACCAGCTGGTAGCAAAAAGGAAGGTACACAGTAGTACTGTGCTGTCAGGTTTGCAAGGCTTTATTGTCTAAATGAGCCTTTGAAGACCACACTTTTAAATGGTGTGTTGAACATCTTCTTTTTGCTAAAAACTGGCTTTTTCCAAGGCAATCTTAGAGTCTTCTGGATGCACGGTAATTCAGATGTTTGCTTCTTGCAATGAGAGCAAAGAATGTGCAGCCCTGTCTTCCTGGGTTGTAGGCTTTGTGTGAGACAGATGCCACAACCATCTGCCTTGAGAGAGACTGCCTTCCCACCTACTGGCAAGCTGCACCAGGACACGTGGGACATTCCCCCCTCTCACATATGAAAAGAAGTCCTTGAGGAAGGTGGCACAAGGCCAGAAGAACAATCAGGTTTCCAAGGCAGAACTCAGCAATGATGGCAATAGTTCACTTACTCACAAACCCCCGCTGCAACAGTAATTGGTATTAATAACAAGTGGCAAGACACCGCCACATCATTTCCTCCAGTTAGAGATGCATAACAGAGGGACACAAACCACAGTGCTGTCACTGCAGCCCTACATGCCAACTCACAGGTATTCACCCTCGGCAGTGCAACAGGCTCCAGCCCAGAAGGGGCCCCTTTGAACTCGCTTGGTATTAGGGAATGCTGCCTGGGGCCTTCCCTGCTCTGTCTGCCCACAGGCTGTCAACCCAGAGATGTGTCTGGACTCGTTCTGGCCAACATTTGTAGCAGACCAATTTCTGACCTAAGTGAAATTGAGAGGCAAACAGAAGGACACAATTAGCCTGGCCAGGAGTCCTCTCAGGTGGCTGCAGGAAGGACAAGTTTGGACTCCCACCGTGCAGACACCCCCTGCCTCTTCCAAGCACAGTAAATTGCTGACATCGCCAGCTCTGCAGTCTTTGGCAGGGAGGAAATTATCCTCACAAAAATTCTCCCTGCAGGCTTCAATGCAGATGTGAGGAATTCCACATCGGATTAACAGGGTGACCAACAGCGAGGGACAAAGGAGTTGATCTATCTGAAAGTTTCCAGTGGAATTTTGATCTGAGGCTTGTTGCAAACATTTAATCCTAACTCATCGACTCCAGAATTTATTGAGTCAGTGCTTCTTGGTTTTCTCCCCCAGAGACAACAGGCAGTGCACCACTACATGACTTTATACGCTTATTTATGCGTACACAAGCACATGAATCAAGTACTGCTGGGTAGGTGATGAATGGAGCAATGCAATATGAGCCAAAACTTGTGTCTACTGTCATTTAAATGCTTTTAGGCATTTGGGAGAGATGTTTCTGATAGGGGAGTTAATATACAAAACTTTTTTGAAGCAATTTATCTGCTCTATTTCCTCTTTTCTTCCCCAGATCCTTATGCTTACATGCTGTTAGTGTTCGGGCACACAGCTATACGTTAGGATGTGAGGGAAAGGCCTTAAGTTGTATCAGGGGAGGTTCAGGCTGGATGTTAGGAAGAACTTAGCAAGAGTGGTGAGGCAGTGGCACAGGCTGCACAGGGAGGTGGTGGAGTCGCCGTCCCTGGAGGTGTTCAAGGCACGTGTAGGTATGGCACTGAAGGACGTGGTTAGTGGGGTGGGTTGGGGTCGGACCAGGTGATCTTAGAGGTCTTTTCCAACCGTGAGGATTCATCATATCCATTTAGGAAATGTATTTGAAGGAAAAAGAAGTGCCATTCTAAGTTATTGTAGCCAATTTTCTCCTTAGGCAGCAGACACAGCACCTCAGAGCTCAACACCCAGCTCAGGAACACCATGGCAGCAGCTCACTCCTACTCACATTCTTACCAGTCCGGAAAGAAGAACAGTCTCTTCTTTCCCTGTGATCCTCAGGACGCTCGCTACCTCCTTTCTAAATTCTACCATTTCCATTTTCCTGCCCCAGCATTTACACAGGTGTGAGATTGGACAATATATACAATGGGTACCAGAGCTCCTCTTGTGAAAACGAGCTGTGATGTGTTTCTGGTACCCGTGTTTACTGAGATGGGAAGTAAACGGAAAGCACATAAACTTGGTGCAGTTATATTGAAGGCATGAGTGGAAAGTGGAAAGACTCTGAAATGCAGCTTTAAGCAGCTGGTCTAAAATGCATTATGTTCCAAGCTCACTCACTCATGAAGTTAGAGGCCTAACTTCAACAAGTACTCTTTGAAAGAACGGTCTTGTTAATCAATCCTTCCAGAACAGCAGATTTAAAATACAAATAAAGTCTTAGAAAAAAGTCCTTCCAGTTTGAGATTCTTTGCATCTTAGCTAGTGAAATGCCTTATCTCCCACCCTACTGCTAATTATAGCCATTAATCCTTTGCTATTGTTTAACTGATGAGCAGCTGTTGACTTATAGTAAGCAACGGAGCGTAATTCAAAACTAATTAAAACTGATCAATGGATAAATTTGTTACACGCTTTTATTTCTATTAGAGTCTCAAAAGAAGAGCAGACAGCGTTAAAAGGATTTTTTTTTCCCCTTCCTTCCAACTTAAATTAGTTTTGTATGAACAGGGGAAGAAAATGAGCTTATCTGAATTCTATTAAAACTGAGAATTAAAATGCCAAACGATAAATATTTCACATGGACAGTGGTGGATGGAAGAAACGAATGAAGACAAGCAGAAGTTTCTTTATAAAATGATTTATTAAAAATAAGTCTTTTAAAGAGGAGAAAGTGTGGCATGTATATACAGTACATTGTCACAAACTGCGTGGAGCTTGTAATACAACCTACCCACTTTGTTGTTACGTTCGTTTTTTATGTCATGCTTACTGGAACTTAACAGCAAACGGGAAGAGAAAAACACCTGGTACCCAACCCTCACAGGGAAACTGAGGGGTTCTTGTAACGATGACGCCTGCTGATCAGCATGATGCAGCTGTTAAACACAGACAAACCAAGATTTTATGAATACAGGCTTCAGTTGACACAGTCTAATTGAGGGCTGTGCGCTTCTGATTAGCTCTTCATTTCTACTGTGAATGGACAGACATCATTAGCAACTGATTTTGTGTTCTAGAAAGGTAGAAGTATTTTAGGGAGAATAAAATACCATCCAAAAAACATAAACAAATGCTCTACTTCCAGCTCTGTTGCAGTAGGTATCAAAGATTTCCTCTTAGGAAGAAGATTACACAATGGCTGGTTTTCTCCTTTAACTCCCCACATCTCTGACAGCCAGAGCCACAAAAATAGTTTTCCTTAAATTTATTTTATTTTACAAGAGTATTTTGCACAGAAGGTGACAGGACAAACACTTGATGCTGCACACTTCACATTCTCCTAGCCAGATGTTGCGTTTAGAACAAGATCCTTTGAGTCGAGCATTCTGAACATTTCCCACTTTCAGAGCATATATACAGCCAGCTGCCAACAGCTATATCACAAAATGTCTGCCCGTCCTTACAGCAGAATTCACTCCAACTTCACATCTCAGGGCTTACAACTTCAGATCCTCGCAGCAGCCTCTTTAGTCCCACAGTTTAATGAGACCATCCCAGCCGCACGTAATGACTTTGGATGTTTCGTGAGGATGCCAGACTGCGCCGATGCAGACTTTATCATGTGCTTTTATTCTGCTGTAAAGTTTTGTGGTCTTCCAGTCCCAGATGTTAAGCTTTCCATCTGCATCTCCAGATATCACATAGCTGCATTAAAAGGATGGAAATACAAGTTGCATTAAGCGCGAGGACTGCTAGTATTCTAACACTTTATATTGAGGAATGGAACAGAGCTTCACCCACTTAGCCTCCCACCTGGCAGTCTGCAAACTTTCCTGCCAGAGAACTGGTGTTCATGCTGTGCTCTGTGGCACACGTAGTCCTGCAGAAGGTGATGCATCAGCTGTGAGGTAAACGTGCTAACTAGTGTGATTCTATCACTCAGTGTTACCGGGACTGAAGAGAATATGTTGGGAAAAGATAAAAGTGCCAGAAGTTCATCAGCAACTTACAGACACTCTCTGCTTTTTCCTCCGGTTTTGCTGAGGTTATTCTCCACTTTTTATAGCAGTGCATAGCTTATGTACATACAGTGGTAAATATATGGGCATGTTACCAAGGAGACAGGATGTAAAAGATAGATCTCTGAACAGCTAATGAGGACATATCACACCAGACCTGTGCACAGGAAAAACCAGGCAAGTCTGAATGCCAGGTATTCTAGATGGGTGCATATGGTGGGAACAAAGACTGAAGGGCTCTGGGGAGACTGCTACTGACTGTTTGCAAACATAGCCAGATGCAGGTTTGTGCTGCACCAGGACTGGGCAAAATAAGGGCAATCTCTGGATGCTTCAACACAGCAACATAGGTCTTCTTCAGGGAATGGAGAATCTGGGCTATGCTGACTGCTTTTTAACTGTTGTTTGGAACAACTGTTGAGTTCACTTAGTCCAGTCAAACAAGAAGAGCAAGCTTATTCTGCTGCTTGTCTTAGAGAGCTCTGTCCTATTACTGAGTTAATAGGATGGCTGTGCATCAATGAATGTTGAAAAGGATTCAAAAAGTAATCTGGTGTCCGTGCTCGTGAGTTTAAAGATGAAGCTCTTTCCCACAAAACTCACCTCATATCAGGTGAAAAATCCACTTGACAAGCGTAGCCAGCTACCATGTGACCTTTGAAGATTTTCTTTTTGTTTAATCTGAATCTGTTCTGAGCTCCAAAAATCAGAATTTGGTTATCCATTGACTGGCAAGCCAACCATTTCCCTAAAAATGCAATGAACAGAGGAGATGACAGAGTGCCACATACGAAGAAACAGTCGTGGCTGGAAAGTTTGAGACACACACAACTTTCTCTGCACTGTGCTAATTCAGATTTTCATTATAATCATAGAATCCTTATGAGTTGGAAGGGACCTTTGAATGCCACCTAGTCCAACTGCCTGCAACGAACAAGAACGTGCACAGCCAGGTCAGGTTCCAAGGGCCTGATCCAGCCTCACCTTCAAAGTCTCCAGGGATGGGGCTTCAACCACATCTCTGGGAAACCTGTTCCAGTGCCTCACCATCCTCACTGTAAAAGATTTTTTTCCTTATGTCCAATCTAAATCTAATCTCTCTTATGTAATAAAGTTTCTTGGTAGAAGCTGATATTACTTTACAGAATCACAGGGTCCGGAAGATGGCCAACCCAATTTCCACCTGTTACAACTGTTAGAAGGCAGAAAATTATGCAACAGGATTTGGGAAGCCTGTTCCTACAAAATGCACTCAGAACTCTAAAAAAGCTCTGCCTGTTACATTAACCCCAGTAATGAACTGATCCATTTTTAAGCTACTGAGTAAGTTTTTATGGTGCACATATTACAAACTCTCAATCAAGTAATTCAGATTAAGGAAAAAAAAAAAATAGGTAATCTATTTGATAACCTTTTTTTGTGGGTACTTTAAGATGGTCACCTGGACTAAGGAGCTTCAGAATGCTTATGTTTTTGAGACTATTTAATTCTCTGAGTCATAATGGAGTATGATTTAATCAAGACATTTGAGTTAAAATAAATAAGGCTTTTCTAATCTTCATTTCACTGTGTCTTGGCACTGCATTAATTCCTACCTAAGAATCCAGTGAAGGCAATGCACTACAGAACAGTTTACAACAGACTTCTGCCCTGAACTCTTTATATTATCATGGTCTTCAGTGTCTGATTTGAACAATGACAGAAAACATGCTGAATAGTCCTTAAATCTGATCCAGCTTCTAGCTTGGAATTAGACAGTTTAGTTCAGCCTCCCAGAGAAATAAACAGCGTGCTTACCCCACTCACATTATTCTTTCTTAGGTTTTTAAAAGGTCTGTTACAATCTTCTGCATCCTTCAGAAGGAAAATGTAAATTTCCTTCCATAAAATTTTCAATTTAACTGTCTTCCTCCAGAATCTTCCTTTTACTATTAAGGCTCTGCCTCGATTGTTAAGAATGAAATATTTACACTGCAAAGAAACTGTAATTTGATGCTGAGAGCTGGCTGAATGTGCTGGCTATACAAGCTGATCAGCCACTACTCAGCAAATGAGACTGTTAACGGTAAATTTATAACGCTTCAATAACGTTGGCAATAAAGCTATTTAATTTTAGCCAGCACACATAAAAGAGATTTCGTCCTATTAGAAAGATTTTTCACTTATTGCTGGAGGAATTCAGCCTTTGCCCTTCTGCAGCTCGGTTGTTGCAGAAGAACATGAACACTAGGGAAACATTAACATACAGAAACACTGAGATAATTTGGAATTTCTCTTGAGCAAATGCTATTTGTGCTGTATTCAGAACAAAGAAACAGCATCAGCAGGATCACGTAAAACATCAGTCTTTGTGTTATCAGTGACACCACAAGGACTGCTGAACTTGCTCAGTACTTTGCAGCTCTTGTCAATGCCAACATTGTTTTTCCTAATATTTTAAATATTAGAAAGAACAAACTGAAGTTCTGTGAAAAGAAGGAGCCCTTTTACTCCGTTTGGAGGAAGGTCTAAACTTAAACTGATACAGCTATCCTGCAATAACCCCTCATTTTGACATGTTTGATCTTCCCAAAACTTTTAAATCAAATCCAGATTCAGTCTAATCTTGGAATAAAGGCACACAAGTCTTTGGAAGGGGGTATGGGCAGCAGGGAGGTACAAGATGGCAAAATTACAGAGCTATCATTAGTGAGACATCTTATGTCAGCTCGGCCTGAGAAGGCAGCAAAGTTGTTAACCCACCATTTGGAGACAAAGTCACGGCTGGCATCGAATGCATACTTGGCTCAGCAATATACTTGAAGTCTACAGGAATGTCCCTGCAAAAGGAAGACGTATGTGTTTAGGAAGACATGCAGACATTATTCCAAAGGGCTGCCTTGAGAGAGCTGATTTACTAAGCTGCTGAGAACATGGCAGTGCAGTCTAAAGAAGAATGTGGATAAGCTCAAAATTATGGGTGCTCACTTAGAGAAATGCAGCTGATAGCATGAATTTACCCCAAATCAAATGACCCATAGTCTAAAGCAGAATCCTGACTCCAATTGGTAACACAAAGATACTTGATTGCCTCCAGCTTCTTAAAAACAAAAACAAAAACCATTAAAGAAAATAGGAGTTTTATTCTATTCCCCCTGACAATGCCATTTTCCTCCTATTCTCCCCAAATGGGATGCCGACCAATTCTGAATGTTCATAGCTGAACTCAGCTGTGAACTCCCTGGCCTCAATTCCATTTCATTCTTTTAGAGGAGTACTCCAACAGCTTCAAATCAGGACACAAAGTCATCACTGTGGGGAGGTCTGATCCTTTGCAACCCCTAACAGCACACATTCCCTCAGCACACCAGTCATCTGCAACCCTCAGTTCTAGGTGAAAGCAATCCTCCCAGAGGCCACGTTAAAACAAACAAACTGTTGGCTGGCAAAAAGAAAGAAAAAGGAAAAAAACATCAAGAAAACCAACCCACTGTATATCATGAAATCTAAGGTGCCAAAGGTATCTTTATAAGGAGATACGGAGACCTGTTGGAGAGGTACAGAGTGACAGACATGACAAGCCTCCTCAGCTTGGCAATGTAAGAACTAAGTTACTGCTGTACTGCTCCTGCTTTGCCAGCTTAGTCAAAGGCATAAAGAAAGAAAATCTTCCAAGATCAGTTGCCCGAATCATTTCACTGTTTATCCAATTAGGACCAGAAGCATGAGAAGCCCACAAGAGAAAACAACGTTTTGCATTTCTAAAAGAAAACACAGAATATAACACCCGTGTCAACTTTAATATCACTGCTGTAAAGATACAATCCCATCAAAAGCAAAGCAGGCAAATTTTATAGCACTCCAGTTAAGACTCCTGAACAAACGACCAGATCTTCACGTTTGTCCTTGTGAAACCTATGAGCACGCTCTGAACTCTCGGGGAAAGGACATTTATATTCTCAGGGGTGAAGCTGCTCACTGTAATGAAGTCTGACATGACATCCCATTACCAGCTCTGGCCAAGTCAAAGTATTTACAAAACCCACTACAAAATTTCTCCAAACAATTGAAACCAAGTAATGAGACCAGCTTTAATTACTGGCTTTTAAGGCCATATTCAGGTCATAGTTACTTTGAAAGCTGCTTTGTTTCTGAAGGATACTGAAGAAATACTGTGCTGAAGTACATGAAGAAATACATTGCACGAAGTCACCCTAGATGTAGTAACAATTGTCCTTATGAACTTAAGAAAATAAAAAGATTTGAGGCGTGGTATGAAATAGTTTGATATGGAAAGCTGATGTGCTGAATATATTAACAGTTTCAATGCACTGCAAAAATCTGGATATTGAAATTATGTGCATATGCAGACTGGTTACCATATATCAACTGCAGGTTATGGCCAAATGTTTTTCAGGTCATGGCTAGAAAGACAACGTTTACTTTATATAAAATCAAAAAATTCCCCAAAGACTGTTTGGCAGAACACTGTGTACAGTTGAGTTCCCTAATATCTGAACAAGAGAACCCTTTTTTAGTGTACAGGATGCTCAGTATATATACATATATATATATATATTTTTTTGCTTCGGAAGAAAAAAAAATCTGGTACTGTAGCAATCAGGTTGCGATGTTCCCATACCAGAACCTTTCTGCCTTTCCTGCTTTTCCCCACAGAGTGACTAAATCCACCCACTTCACTATTTATTTCAGCCATCAACACAGAGCTCACAGAAGAAGGGCAATGCAATCTCAAGGAAATAACAAACTTGTGCGAGTGACATCCTCCTCCTACTCACCAGAGAGGAGGCATTCCTTAGCAGACACGATACTGTAAATACTTTGAGGAGCTCAGTAAATACATGGGTCTAATTACAAAAAACTGAACAGAGGCTCTCTGGGACTCACATCTGGAGACAGTGCTCCATGCCTGCAAGCCTAAGCCTGGGCTCCCAGACTTGGGTTGTTACCACTGCTGCTACTGGCAATGATAGCAACAGATCACAGACACACTGTGGGTTTTGGGTGACATTCAAATACCACAGACTGGAGCCTCTTGTCTAGGTGAAAAAATAAAACCCACAAAAAATGCTGGGAAGAAACTGATTAGTCACAGAGCTGTCAAACTCATGTCTGTGTTGTGCAACAGCTTTCATGAGTGAATGACAAAATGAAATGGATACTTAAAATATGGAATTAATAATTTCAAAAAGATGCCTGAAGTCCTAGAGAAATCTTCAAGTCCTAAGCAGGAGGTCTCAAGACCTAGAATCCTGTGGGAAAGGTTTCAAAAACAGAAGATATCTGTTCTCTCCCCAGCTACGTTAAAAATTGGAAGGCACTGAAAATGCTTAGTATGAGTTTTCTTGGACAGGCTTTCATTTTCTGTCAACTATTCTACTCATACTGTATCAGCAATGGCCCAAAAAGCAGACTACCAGAAAAGCAGAAACAAAGCTACACCAAGATTGTTATCTTGTATCTTGGTAGAATATTAAATAATATTGTACATACCAAAGCTCAAAGCACTCAAAAGCTACAAACACCAACATAATATAGCAACCTTTTTAAGAAAAGGCTTATTTATTTATCTCCTGTACCCTTGGGGAAAGGAGAGATAATAAAGACTGCTAATAGAGCACAGCATGCTTCAGGCTGACAGGCTGCCCTGTGCTTTCATTTGGAGGAAGAGAAATCTATGAAGTGCCTCAAGAATGAAGCCAGAACAGCTTGGTTAGTACTCAGCAGTGTGATAGGAAACAACTAGCTTTAAAGATTAGAATAATTTCTCTAGAGATTTGAGAAATATACAACATTAAAAAATACTATTAATCATTAATACTACTAATAAATACAGCCTGCTGCCCATATACGATTTTCATCAATAAAAGGAGGCTTTCCTAAATAGATATTTCACTTTGCTGACTTTCAAAATAGTTTTCAAATACCGCAGTGCTGCAGGTCAGTAACACAGGGGCAATAATTCACTGTCAGACACTAAGACTGATTTCCAAGACATTGGAAGTAGACTGTGGAATGGATGCTTCAACTTACAGCAGAACAGTATTTAAAAACAAGGGCCCATACCAGACTGAGTGACTGCAGAGGATATGCCCAACTTCAGCAGTTATCAGAAATTAGCAACAAGGGTATCTGAGATTGTTCTGGTTCTATATTCTTGTGAAAGATTAGCTACTACATAATTACATACACACTTGCAGAAATTTGAATTCAGCTCTTCCTCAGCTAGCTATAAACTTGGTATGCTTCAGCATCCTATCTGCTACATACACTTCTCATACACTGCTTTCTCAGTTTGCTCATAACATACTCTAGGCTAAAGTTAAAAATACTAAACTTACCATTCCCAGACTCTTAAACTTTTGTCATCGGATGTACTCACAAATCTTCTATTTTCATCCACAAACACAATGGTGTTGACAGCTCCCAAATGTCTATCATATTCCTGCACAATCTCACCACTCCGAATATCCCACTACAATTAAAGAAGTCCAAGTAAGATGCTGGATTTTACTAAATATATATATATATATATATATATTTATATATTTATATATATATTTTTTTTATGATTTCAAGCTTTAAAATAATATCAGGCAAGAAAGCAAATCCTCTAGTAACAGTCTTTGAAGGTAGGAGGAAAAAGTAGGAGGGAAAAGAAACATGCTCAACTGGTTCAGAAATTCTAATTGAATAAGAAAATTCAAGTAAAACTAACAATCTTTTGAGCTGTAGGTGGAGTGTTTACAAAGAGAAACCAGGGGAAAATAAGACTTAAAGTAGACATACTTGCACAATTTTCTTATCTGACATTCCTGCAACAAAGAGATTTTGTTTATCTTCATCAGGATTGAACTTGACACAATAAGGAACCTTCCTGTTTGTGAATCTTGAAATACACTGTCCTGAAACAGACAAAACCATTCATATTGGGTCAAGCCAGAAGTTGTAAGGGCTGATTAGTTTATTACATACATTGATAGAGACATTCATTTTACTTCTATCTCACTAACAGCAGAAAATACCTTTTTTAAGCCCCTGAGAGAATGAGAGAGTAGAACTGACCCTACATATTGGCACATTTGTAAGCATGTAGCTGTATGAAGACATACAAACACATTCATCCATACAATTACTACAGCTCTCCAAACAATGCAAGTCTGTAAGCTCTGTAGCTTACATATTATCAGGACGTAGTCAAGGACATCAGAACTAGTCAAGACGTGGCAAGCTGACCAGAGCCTTTGCAAAACATCACCTGATTAGGATCAGAATTCTTCCTGACAAGAGACTTGGAACTCAGGCAAGAATTTCCTATTCCTAACTGTAAAACAGGGTAACAGTAATCTAACCACCAAACAAGCCACTGATCTCCTCTCACAGTCTGAGCCATAAATGGGTTATCTGTAACTTCCAGGAGCCTATTATATTTCAAGAGCTCAACAGTGTCCAAAAAACCTCAGTTCTGACTCAGGCCTGGACAATCTGACTTCTACTTTCTGACTGACACCTGAATGAGACTACTGCTACTGCTAATCAAGCAAGCTAATTATGGAAACCTCTTTATGACACCCTTGGTTTCAAAGAATACCTACAAAATTTACCCTGTATCTTTTTAACTAAAGAAACCACTTGGAACAGAATGTTACTGAACTTTCCCAGCCAGTTCCATGAAAGTGTCAGACCTGTCCTCCACTTCCTATGGAAGCAGCAGCTCCATTTCCACCATCTTTTCCTACTCAGAATGCTTTTCAAGATGAGAGCATTCTCATCAGCATTCAGCAAGCTGAAAGATCAAGTGAAATAATTCTTCCAGATTAAATTTTGGTCTAAAGTGTGATTTCTTTTTTTTTTTTTTTTTTTTAATGTCTCTAGATGTAAACATACAGTTAATTGATTTGTTAATTTTTAAAACTAAAAATTGTACTGTCATGACAGATACTTAAAGGACTTCTCAAACAAATAAGCATATTAAAAGTATTCTCAATTGCATTATTATAGGTAACAGAACATTCAGAATAAAAAGACCATTTGTCCTGTTAACAAAAGCCTGAACACTGAACTATGAAAAGATGTTAAGGACAATTAGAAACAATCTGACTGATGATATGCTTTGTTATCTACTCATAGTTAACCACGGTGTGCACAGCTACAAGCCCACCTGTTTCAGTGTCCCACAGTTTAATGTAGCGGTCGTATGCAGCGCTAAGAAATCGAGTGCCAGCGTTGTTAAAACAGATGTCTCGAACGGCTTTCCCATGTCCTACAACACAGAAAAGATGCAAGAAACCTGTAATTTGTGCTCAGAATTACAGGCATTTTTGGAGAATGTTTTTCCACTTAGCCGCTGTAATCTTCAGTAAGGCAAAGAGAACAAGGCTATTGCTTACTGAAATCCTTCCTGAGTACCACTAAACCTGATTTCAGCACAGTGGTTCCAATGACAAAGAACTCCTGACTCAAGTACCTCGTAAAGACTGATGAGAATTAAAACAAACAAACAAAAACAAACCACAAACATAGAAGCTCTGGAGAGAGAGAAACAACAGTATTGCACAGAAACAACGTGCAAATCAATGCTGACATCGAAGGGAAAAAACAGGAGAGACAAACAACTACTACCTGGGATGCATTTGAAGGAGAAACATTTAAAAGGAAAACCAAAATTATTAAAAATCATTGGCAGTGTGAGGTCTTCTGATGTTTATCATGTTATCCTTCACCCCAATACTTTCAGCTGATCATTGTAGCTCTCTTTAGTTAAAACACTGGCACAGAAACTATATACAAAAACATATGTAAAATATATATAAAACATATACATAAGTAATAAGTAAATATGTATACACATATTGTATATTACATAAATATGTATATATTTGTAAAAATGCAAGAAGCTTTTGATATATATTGAAGTAGCAAGTAAACCTGGTTAATGTCAAGGATCTTCTGAGAAGAATGGTCAAACTTTGGATTGAGCAGACCATTTAGAGAACCTTTCCTGAGCATTTCTTTGCTATCCTGCTGTCATCAGAAATATCAGATAAAAAGACTTCTTTGTTGTTCTTACTTAACATACATTCACTCAATGTGCGTTCTAGAAATGCTCCCATCTCAAAAGAAGAATCAACTACTTTCGTTCTGTATTAAAGACTGCTGTGAAGTTCTTATATTTCTCTCTCAATCATCTGCTTTAAAAAAAACAAACCTGTTATATAAACAAAACTGCACCAGAACCTAACAAAATAAGAAAAAATTCCCATGTTTGCACTTGAAACTCAGCACACAGGAGACCACCTGGCTAAAGAGGGATTAACAGACCACGAGATGCCCTCTCTACAGTGGGCTGCTGTTCTCAATATGAAGCAATTCAGTTTCACAATTTTGCCTTTGGAATGAAGTTTTGCATGAAGTATTGATGAGTACAGTACACTAATGTCTTGTTTTAAAGGGCTTAAAGAGTTATATGTTGACATTATATTTCCTGGAATAAAGCCAAAGGTTCACTAAAAAGTTGCACCTTCTTCAATTCTCATTGCCAACATTATACTGAATACCATTTGGCTATTTACAAATCCTCTTTAAGATAAAGCAATAAGCTAACCTAAAACATGTCCTTTCGCACAGCTGTTTTATGTGTATATTAAGAGCTAAGTTAAAAAAAAGAGAAGTATGATTACCAATAAACGTCCGTAGACATCTTCTATCACCATATACTTCCCAAAGCTTGGAAGAAAAAAAAAGAAAAAGGATGAGGGGAGAAAATATGTCAACAGTTAAAAACACCTGATGCTGAAATTAAGTGCAAATATTATGACGCCAGCTTTTAAGAAATTAATTACAAATTTAAGATATCAACGGATTAATCCCATGTATCTATCCAGTCATTTATGCGAATGCCATCTTTTTAGCAAAAAAACCCCAACCAGACTGCTGAATAATAAAAAAACCCCACAGTACAATAAAAGAAGAAGATCTAATGTAAGTTTTTAAATGTCTACGGTTTTGCTATTAAAAAAAATATTACTCAATTAATTAGTTTTCTGATATGACATTGATGGACTAAAATGGGATTAATTCAAAGCCACAAATACTTCCAGTAAAGCACTTGATGAAAAGCATACTGCTAGCTGCAAAACTAAGCTTCATAGAAAATTCTGACAATAGCAAAGACAGTAACCTGAGCAACTCAAGCCCTTCTAAATTCTATTACTAAATGATTAACACTGTTCTAACACCCACACCATCTTGTGTATTATTCTATCGTTGTTCCCAAGAACTTGTAATTTAAAACTCAAGTGAGAAAATAAAAGTAACAGTAACTTGGTAGAATTACCAAGCATTTACATAATCTGAATGCAGGGTCTGTATTCAATGCTGGAATAAAATACGTAAATGAAAGTAGAAAGATAACTCACCTTAATTTTGCAATCCATAGAGCAAGACAGCAGCATATGCCCAGACAGAGGAAACAACCTAACTGCACTGACTCCCTGTAAATAAGGACAATTAAACAGTAAGTGGAGCATCTATGCACTCTCTCAGTTCACCAGCCCTCTTTCTATAAGCAAAAAGCTATACTGCAACTTCATAAAATATACAGATACTGTATATCTAAAAGAAATATCCTACCATTCCACTTTAAAAACAGAGGCATTTTTAACAATTGTTGCTGGCAACAAATTGATTCACTTCAATATCTGCATACACATACACCCTAGAGCTTCTCCACAGTCCCTTTTCAACACCCACACCATTACTGTGGAAATCACAACAAATAAATTGTGGGTTAAGGTGACTGCTTTAAACAGACACTGCTCTAATAGAATCCTTTCCTGCTCTCTTTGCCATATACTGTTTTCTGAACAAGTCCTGTTTTGTTTGTTTTAAATACAACATGGCAGCAGTTCCATCATGGCAGCAGTGCCACTGGTGTATTAAAGCAGTCCCTGAAGCCACTTCCAACACAGGCATCCCCAGAAGCATTCACAAGTTCTGAAGCTGCAAATGCTGTCGTGTCTCTGTATCTCTACTCAGATGGCCTGCAGTATTCCCACAAGTAATATGAGTGCTATTTCTCTGGTAAAACAATACAAAAAAATACCAGCCAACCTGCTCTGCCTGGGCTGGCTAGTACATGCGCTTTAAGTTGACAGGAGGCCTATGCAGGTTGAAAGCCCTGTTTTTCTGGTGTTCCTGTTTCACTGTTCCAACTAGCAAACAGCCTTTTCAGGTGGGACATGCAGAAGTATTGCACCAAAAAAATTTCTAGCCAGCTCTACTTATTACATATATTGGCTTGTAGCCACTGAGCACCAGATTCCCTGGGCACAGTATCCCCCCATCTGTCTGTATTTCAGGTCATCTTTACAAAAGACATCTAGAGAACTGCCAGGTACTCATAGTTTTACGTCTTTCTATAATATGTCAATTTCTCTGTTCTTATTCCACCTAGTTCCTCCCACTCTGGTTGGAGTTGCAGTCTATATCCCTCCTTATCACTGTTTTCTTATATTCCCCAGTTCTTCTATCTTTCTCAGTCCTCCTTCCTTTTGCTTCTCTCATCCATTCTGTAATTTGTCTTGGTTGTTTGAAGGAAAAAAGCACAAAGCCTTTTTTATGCATCAATCTGTTTGATAGGATAATAGGCAAAGAAGTGACTTAGTGCTTTGGGGAGGAGGTGTTATTCTGGAAAACTCCAACACTTGTAACTACAACTTCTTTGATACAGCAGTTACTAAAGAAAAATAGAGCTGGGACTCAACAAAGCAAGGCAAAAGCCTTGTCTCCTTTCTTCCATCTTTTGGGTATCATTAAGCTGCTGCCCACTGCAGCACAGTGACATAATACTGAAAATCAGAGATGGAAGAAGCAGCAAATTGAATATAAGCTTTATGAATCTGATCAGTGAAACAAGTTTTAATGTTAAAAATGCATGTTTAGTTACATTGTCTGACACAAGAAGAAACTATGAAGTAACATAAGGGAAAACTGAAAGCAAGTTAATAATTGTATTTGGGAATCCTGTAATGCTTATGTATTGGAATCACAAAACCTATTCAACTTTTCATAGGTTTGATGTGAAACAGCATTTCAGTACTTTTAGTGTAGAAATGCATTTTCAGTTATCTCTAGAATTAGTCTTGCTCTTATTCACATGGCAATTTAGTAAATAACTCAAAATCCCACACAGGTGAGTGAAGAATATTTGTCGCATCAAAAGATGTTGGGAAGTCACTATGTTCATGAAAAAATTTATACAGATATCATGAACAATCATATCTGACCATGTGAACACCTCGTGTGGGTGTACAATGCTGCCAACTGTGTGCACAATGTCATAAATGAGAAAAAGCATTCATTTCTTACATTGATGCTTCAGTTTTATAGAATTTCAGATACAAAACAAAGTGCATTTTTATGAGGTACGCTCTGAAACTTCCTACCTTTGTATGTCCAGACCATACATGGATTTGTTTCTTTGGAAGATAGCATTTCTCAGGTGGCATTGTAGAACGGAGATTAACACCAACATCTTGAGGAACATGAAGGTAAGATCTCCCCTGATAGTCATACATTTCCTTAACTAAAAAGGGAAGTGGAGAATTCTGAGAATCTGAGAGATTGTATTTTAAGAGGAAGATTCAACTGACACACACTTAAGGTTTTTCCTCAACACAGCAGTCTTGCCCCGAAGCAGGGTGGGAAGAGGGATGAGAAGAAAACAAATCCACTTCATAGGTTATGGATTCTTACTTGACATCAGTTGTGCTGAAATTAAACCATTTCAGCAAGTGTGCTTGGAATCTGATAATCTCAATGAACAAAATGATCTCCCCCTTACCCACCTTACCTCAAAATGCAAGAGTGTTCCTGAGGACAACAAGAGTTTGCTCATACTAACTGTACACTGATTATAACCTGCTCTCAAACTCTGGCATTTACTTGCAATTTACAATCCACCCAGCTCCGTTCTTCAACAGTCATTTCAAGAATTGCAAACCAGAGGAAAGAAGATCCATCCCCAATGTCAACCAACTGAGCAACCGATGGCAGTCAGCAGCTAACAGCTGTTCTTTAACCACATTTCAACAGAAGTGGCTGGACGCTCACACATGCAGGGTGCATTGTCCTATAAATTGATATTCCAAAATAGACTTCTCTGCTGAGTAGCGATGACATTAAGCTGTGCACTGATTTAATTAATTTCTGTTTCTTGGATATTGATATGACAGTTTTGCTTGTACAGATGACCTTCTGCTCAGCATTAATGGTGAGCAGAAGGCTTACCAGAATAAAGGTGTCTACAAAACAGTGCTTTTTTCTGGAAAGCTTCAGTTTGAGAAGATTAAAATTTATCTTGTAAGGACTCTGTGAAACTTTAGAAAATGGTATACAAAGACAGGTGCTAACTACCTGTCCCTGCCACACAGGGCTGTTTTGCACAAAGAAACATGAAACAACAGTTTCCAAAAATCACCTGATCTTACTTACTTACCATTTTCTTACAATTTTCATTGAAGGTATGCTATAGGCCTTAACAGGGTAATCATTTGATAAATAATTATTCATAGCAAGAATGTTCACATTAAGAACTGAGGAAGTCCAGGGTCCAAGTGATTTTCTAAATTGTGTGTTTGTAATTCAAAGCACTATTTGCTGATTAAAGTACCAAAACTGTAGTCATTCTGAAGCTCAGACTAAACCTACCACATAATCTCATGGTTGCTTTTTTTTTTTTGCTCTGTAAATGAGGAAGATATGCATACCTAGTAACATTAAAAATAAATAAATAAAACCTGAAAGATGACATTTCCACACTGCTCTTCACAGTATGTTGTGGAATTGGTCCAAGCTTATCTCTTTCCCTGCCCTTTATGCTTATGCCTGTGAATGCTATTATCTCCAAAACAGAAACATCAAGGTGCCTCAGCAGTTTTGCTGAGGCTGTCTGCCATCCTTACTAATTAACACAGCAGGCAAGAAAACACAGTGAGCAGGAAAATAAGAACTGGCAGGAAGATGCCATTACCATGTAATATAGTCTTCTCCTCTCCAGGTTTATCATCTTCTAGTTTTCCTCTCTTCTGCCTCTTAGCTGTTATTTCATCCAACTCCTTCTGTTCTTCCTGGAAAAATAAAATATGATCTTGACTTTTAAAAAAGCAAATGTTCAGAATGAGATAACAAAATCCAAAATTGCATTACTGTTTATTTGGTTTTATGAATACAATTAATTGTTAAGTGAGATCAGAAATATTTCTGAGCATCAACAGAATACCTTTATCAAAAACAGATTAGCTTGAAAAGCTAAGTACAACTGAAAATAATTAAATATAATCTTTTTATTTATAGACTATGGCTAAGCATCACTGACTCAGTGTGAAGGACATACATTGGTTGGGTTGTTGCTTTTAAAACAAAAAACAAAAAAAACACCCTTCCCTTTTTCTTAAAATAAACAAGTACCAATTTACGTTCAGTCCTTTCCAAGATGCTCCTGTTTATAAGGATCTTTTGCCAGACTCTACATGTGACACATAGATACAATTCATTTTATTTCCAGTCTTTCAAATAACTGAATGCACAATATTCAGAACACCCTATTCAAACTCAGAACCAGAATTGTTTCTATCACCCTAAAGCACACCTTCTGGTTGAGACACACTGGATCTCTGTTAAAACCACCACATAATATACTATTGCACCACAACGCATTAGCAGTTTGTGTTTACAGTGTTAAAGTAGTACTTACTTCTGAAGGCTTGGCTACTTCTTTTTCATCAACATACTTTGCCCACGGTCCCAGGAAACCATCAATGTTAGATGCATCATTCTCCTTGAATTTCTTCCTTTTTTCAATTTTCTTTTGTCCTGTTTCAAACACTGTTAGACCTAAAGAAAGAAACAATACACTGCTTAGCTGCTCACATACATAACACACCTCAAAATCACAGGTCTCATCACATCAATCTAAAACAAACAATAACAAAAGAAATCCAACAACACCATCACCATCACTCCATCCAACACATACACAGGAAAACGGAGAACACGCTTAGGGGCCAAGCACTGCTGACTTATCAGATTATGAACACTGCTAGCCATGTACAGTAACAGAAGAGCCACTTAAATTAGTATTTAATCAAACATGTGCCCATGCATTTGTAGCACTAAGTCTGCAAATTGCATGAATGTATTGATTTTCATATTTTAAACAGTGTAGACTTTGAAAAATTAGAGCCTGAACAACTGGCTTCTGACTCCCTCCACCTCTCTCAGTTTCAAACAAAATCCATAAGGACACAAATAAAAAAACCAAACAAACAAACACAAAGATCTCCCTAAATCCCAAATACAACTGTGCATTTTAATTCAGTTAAAATTCAGTTATCTATTTCTGAACACTATCCTATTCTTTCATATAAATATTAGCTTATCACAAATTCTGTGCCCTCAGAACTTCATCCATCAAAACCAGTGTGCAGTTTTCATATAATGCTTTCCTACAGCATCAGTAATACTCCTTTAGGGCAAGGGAGACAAAAAAGATTTTTTATAAACAAAGGAAAATAGGCAACGTAGAAGTTAAAGACAATGGTCATATGAGAGACTGTCATATTGCAGTCAGGAATTTTCTTAAAATAAATGACAAAAATTGCAGTATCAGAAGAATATATTTTACTTTAAGTGATTTAGCCTTAGCCATTTCTATCTAATATAATTGCTGGATCAAAAGAAGTCTATTTTCGATTGCTTGGGAGGAATGAGTGAGGCAACCTTCTACATATTCCATGGACTAGAACAGAGAAATAAAGAATCTTTATATAGGCATGCAAATAAAAAGTTAAAAAAAAATTAATCATGAAGCCACTTTTATTGTTAAATGTCTTGCATCAATGTATTAATTACAAGCACCATGCCTCTGGTAGTCAGTTCTCTCAGTGGAATGCTATGCCTTTACCACTTGGCAACTTTCCAGTGGTTTCTCTTTTCCAAACAGTTTAACTCCTCTTAGCAGAGGTAACTTGCAATCCCCAACAGAAGTACTAAAGGTGGCTCACAGAACCCTCAGTTTGCTACCGAGAAGCGTAATTTAAGTGGTTAGTTAGCATACCATACCAACATCCCAATGCAGACACCACAATCTGGGTCAAGGCAGAATTGAAGAGGACCAAAAAGCTCTGTTTCATATATACAGATCAATCCTATTTGTTCAAAGACACCTGAGAGATTCTAAAGATAGCCTGATATATTTGCTACTTCAGGAAAACAAATTCCCCCTGTATCTCTGATGTGCAACACATCATCACTATTAAGTCTTTCATAATTCCCTCCTCTGCCAATACCTACTCCATTTCTTAGTGAAGAAATGATGGAAATAGCCATCAATTTATATAAGATTCTGAAATACTTACCTTGATTTTTTTCAGCTTCTTCTACAGAGCCAATATACTTGGTAGCAACTTCAGGGTTGTCTATAGAGGGGTCTAATGCATAACCTGGAATAAGACAACAAAATTAATGTTATTTTGGACCTTTGACTTTTGCACAACTTTTGTATGCCTTTCTACTAAGTCCATAAAATTATTTCAGCTGGCACTGAGGGAGCTCAGAATGAAGAAGGATAAATATCTCAAAATTTCATTCACTATTCACTTGACCTCAGTACTGTAGTTAGTACAGTATATTACCACAGACTGGCTTGTGTTGGAAGGGACCTTTAAAGATTACCTAGTCTAAATCCCTTGCCATGAGGACTCTGTGCATGCATTGCAACCAGAATGCTTAATTCTGCACAACAGAGAATACATGCAATAAGCAACAGTCCACATCAAAAGAGTGAGGCCTCAGAATCTTCCTGGCCTCCCAAGAGGCCTCTAGCCCAGCACCCCACTCCAAGCAAGGTCAACACTGAACTCAGATCAGTCTACTACAATACAAAACATTACTTTCTTGTCACAGCAGCCCACTTTTGTTTTCTGGTGTAAAGGAAAGACTTAACTCTAAATTTACTGTCAGCAATGCATGATTTTAATTGGGTGCTGCTTTAGTTCAGGGCAAAGGCAGTAAGTTGCATTGAAACCAGCCAAAAGGAAGAGGGCAGGGATACAAAAGAAGAATGGAAGCAAGTGAAGTTTTCTCGGGTTTGATGCATATTCTGTGTGCCTCCTCACAGAAGGGATTTCATCCTCATATCAAGGCTGGAAAAACTTGTTCCTTCCACATGAAAGCAGTTGCTTTAACTAATATGGAACGTACCAGAAGCAGCAGCAATAGCCTTTAATTGTTAAAAGAATTAAGTATTCACATCATCATTTCCTGATTACTGCTATTGAGTCGCATTAAAAAGTAAACAAACAAACAAACAAACAAACCACAACCTGCTGCATTTACTCTTATAAATAATTTATAAAATATATTAGCATTTTTGTAGATATTCAGGATAATTCACATTTTTTCATTCTGAGATTCTCATTTTAATATGCATCTCTTACAATTTCTCTCCATTTCTCCTGAAGTAGATAGGCATGAGCTTCTGTGAAATACAAATAACCTCATGTGGTTTCCAAGGTAGAGGGGTACTGAAGGTTTACTGACCACTGTGGCTTTTTTTTCTTTTTTACTTTTGTTTAAGACTGCACCCTGGTGGACACAGCACCATTTTTTGTTAAACATCACTCAAATTTTTTATTAAACATCACACAAACTGCCTCTTGAGAACCCATAGAGAATTCCTCTGTCTCGGAAAGAAAAAAATTAAATAAAAAGGAAAGAGGAGCAATGAAAGAGAAGTAAATTTTAGCACTGGTAGAAGTAACCACACACAAATCCACAGAAATCTTATGGCATACAAATTAATTCTTACATTTCTGTCGATTCATAGAAACAATTATGAAAATCATAAGCAGTGGAAGATTAACCTTTGACTCCCAAAGACCAATAGCTTATAAAAGCACTTGAATGCAAACATATTGAGAACCTATCAACACCAGCCCAATAGCCAAAGGAGACCATCCCCAGCCACTTCTCAGACACATTGCCGTCCTAGAAGATTTTTACTTACATGGATAACCAAACTGAGCAGACACTGTAATCAGACTTACACTAATTTAACTACCTGCTTTTATTAAGGCAATATATCAGTGAGCTCTCTTCCTAGCTTATAGCTTGGTTTCTATTAACAGCAGAGAGATATTACTTTGGATTTATGTCAAAATCAATACAGTGGTTTTCTTGTCCTCCAACTGTATTGACAGACTCTGGGACTCTATTTGCTCAGTACTTGTAAAAGAGGGACAGTATTCTAATGAATAAGGGACCCTGGGCCAAGCACAGCTTCCCGTGGAAGCGGAGACTTCTTATAGCTGGATTGAATTTGGTCCAGCATCACTGTCATAGAAAAGCTCTGAACAATTTCTACTTTCTAGTGGATTATGTGAAAGAGAATCTTTTCTTTCTGGCTGAGACTCCTAAACACAGCTGCAAAAGACAGCTTGCTTTTATCCTACTCAGCTGGTATATATAACGTGCCTTCACTCCTACATCTCCTCTAGTTTCATTTAGTTCATTAGAAGGGAGATATTTCATGCTACACTTTAGCACAGAAAGGTACAATTCCACCTACATCCATTACTTCAATGCATCTGAAAATGGTTGGTTAAATAAGCAGGCTTCAATGTGCATTCCATAATGACAGTAAATTCAAGTAAGTTTACGTTGTATTGTGCAGTGCAGCACAGAGGAACTCGAGGTAGCTCACGTATGTGAAACAACAGAGCTGGTCTGAGTTTGACTGAACAGGCCTGAGAATAAAGCAACCTGGGAATAAAATGTCAACAATTGTAAAAGCTAACAGTGACTGCAGGCACTGCATGTGAGCATACAAAAAAAAAACCAAAAAACCAACAACCACAAGTATAATTTTCAAGTCATTTTAAGCTTCACAATATCAATCTCACTGATACACTAATCCTTTTTAACAGTTACAGAATGCTCATAAAGAGCTCTGAAACTCACGGACAGAAGACTGCTTATTATTTAATAAGACATTAATATCTTGTGAAAGAGAGGCTTTAGAATACTAAATGCTGCATGAATGAAGTAGTTCAGTTCCAGCGTAACTACAGGGGGCTGAAGAATAGGACTTAGAATATATATAGAACAGAATATACTATAACTATAGAGGCTGAAATAGGTATGAAATTATTATTTTTAACCATATTAAGAACAGAATTGTTCAGTTCAAACTGATCTACAAAGATCATTGAGTACAAATGCCTGACCACTTCAGGACAAATCAAAACCTGCAGCATGTTACTGAGGGCATTGTCCTAAAGTCTCTCGAGCACTGACAGGCATTGGGGCATCACCTATCAGGGCAGCCTGTTCCAGTGTCTGATCATCCTCCTGGCAAAGAAATGTATCCCAATGCCCATCTGACCCTCCCCTGCTGCAGCTTTGTGCCATTCCCATCCTGCCACTGGTACCAGGGAGCAGAGTCAGATACCTCTCTCTGTTTCCCCTCCTCAGTGAGCGGGAGGGAGCAGTGAGGTTCCCTCTCAGCCTCCTTTCCTCCTGGCTGGATATCCCAACCTACTCAGTCCCTTCTCACAAGGTATGCCCATCAGGCATGTTCACACTAATAAACAGTTTGTGTGCCACAGGTAAAAAAAATTCGTAACAACTTTTACACTGAAAGCACACTGGAACATGAATGAGAATGGGCCTGGAGGAAAGCATAGCAGAGACAGGCAAAATGTGCTTGTGATCTAAAAAGGGATGAAGAGAGGAAAACAGAATGGATGAACACAGAAGTAGTTTCGATATGTGAAACATTAAAAGTAACAACCACCCATGGCTTGACAGAACTACTGATAGAAACGTAAGATGGAGTTAAAGTGTGCAGCACAGAAGGCTCAGGGTGCTATCAGTAAAACCTATACTGTTATACTCATGAAAAAAACCCTGCAAATTTGTAGATTTTAAAAACATGGGAAAAAAAAAGTACGGAAACATGGCAGACAATTGCATCATGAAAGATCTCAAAGCAATTTTGACTCAGATCAAAAGATCTGACTAGATCTCTGGTTTCAAGGTGTCTTCTGTAGATACCTGACCTGTGCATCCCCTGACAACTTTCAGGGAGTCTGAAAGATACGAGAAGCAAGCTTGCATTACAAATAACCTCCTTAGTTCAGGGGTAAAATGACAGCTTGCAGATCCATTGTGAAGGAAAAATAGAGAACCAAACCAAATCTAAGACTTGACGTTTGCTATGGCATGTTATATGGCTGAACTACAGCATTCTGCCTTAAAAAGACAGAATTCTGACTGCTAAGTGCTGGTACCATAGAGACATTCTTGATAAAGAAGCTGAAGTCAGCTGTATCTGTCAGAGATCTGAGAAGTGCATTCAGTATGCTCTCCTGTTTTCCATGGGCTGCAGAGCAGTGACTTGATTATGGTTATAGAATTTTTGAATTTGTATCAAACACGTGAAGGAAAGGCAGATCATTCCCAACAGGTTGCTCACTGCAAACAGAAACTGCAATCTTTAAACCCAATCTGGAAAACATTTCCAGTGCTTGTGCCAATAATACATTCCCAAGTTTCTGGAATGAAGTGAACCTTAGTAAGATGAGTAGGTTTTATCTATTTTAAGCAGGTTACTAGCACTGTCACAGAATCACAGAATGGTGAGGGTTGGAAGGGACCTCAAGGCTCATGAATCTCTAACGCCCCTGCCACGTGCAGAGCCACCAACCTCCCCATTTAATACTAGACCAGGCTGCCCAGGGCCCCATCCAATCTGGCCTTGAACACCTCCAGGGATGGGGCATTCTGTGAAGAATCAAAGAGCACTTTGTGATTAAATAGTTGCGGAAAAGCAACAATTAAAGAAACATCTGGAATAAGACAAAAACTTAAATTTAAGATACATCCTCAAGCAAAAGGTGTAGCACAGAAATTTGAAAACTCAGATAAGAGGGACAGCAATAAGCACAGGATCCTGCTTAAACTGGGCCCATAGAATAAGAAGATCTGAGCATGCACAGAAAACAGCACAAGCTAAAACATAATAAACAATGAAATCTGAACATCTTGCTCTAAATTCAGAATTTAGAATTCTCAATTGGTAGAACAATACTGCCTAATAATTGTACAGAATGCACTCTCAAGCATGTAAAAATAAGACTGTCTCAACAGCAGGGAAAAAACACGCCGCATGTTGAAGAGCGGTTAAAACCAATTCCGATTAACAATTTAATAGCGCTAACAAGCATTAGAGAATCCTTTGGACTGAAATCCCAGGCTTAGGTAGTGGCAAGTAAAATTGCCAGGATATCGTCACTGACTGCTCAGCCAGAAAAGACAGTAATCATGAGATGGTAACAAAGGTGCTAGGCAAAGAACCACAACATTCTTACACAACATACCTGCCCCGCGAAGCAGTCGTTTTAGAGATTCACAAGAAAATAAGTCAACTGAGCAGTGTGAGAAGATTGATTTTAGGCCATTTTTACTAAGGATACATGTTTTAAAGGTGACTACAATGCAGAATAAATAAATAAATAATTCAACATTTTTGAAGAAGCAAAGAAAGCCATGAAAACATTTACTACAATCATCTTAAACTCAAACCAGGAGAGCTATACAAAACAGAGAAGATTTTAAAAAGGAACAGAAAGTAAGCCCCAAAGGATAGAGCCTGTTCTAAATGCAGGGACATTTCAAAGACAGTGTGTTGGAGAAAAAGAACTACTGCCTGCCAGCTATTAAAAGACTTAAAAGAGATGAGAGGGAAGTGAGCACAACTGAACAGCACAGGACATAAAAAGAAACTACTAGAAAGTGCTCTTCAATGAGCTGAAGTTGCATCCAAATACGTGAGAAACCAAGAACCAAAGCAGCTTTATATGGAGGAGTCTGGGAAGGCTCCTGTTCTAGAACCTTTCTTTACAGGTAACATGACAAAGTATTACCTCAGAGTGAAATGTCAGGAGACTAAAGAGTCAGATGAGTGGTAAGACCCAGGACCAGATGGTGTTCACCCAAGAGATCTAAAGCCAAATCCCAGCATAAAAACTCTCACTTAAAACTGACTTAATACACCTCCCTCTACACCAGGTTGCTCACAGCCCCATCCAGCCTGGCCTGGAATGCTTCCAGGGAGGGGACATCACAACATCACTGGGCAACCTTTCCAGTGTCTCACCACCCTCACAGTAAATGATTGATATCTTTATGAAACTGAGTTAAACTGATTATAGGGTACCTCAAAGACACTTTGAAATAACTTTACATGGTCATAACTTTACATGGTCAACTGATCAACAAAAAAGAACACAGATATACTACTACTTGTTTGCCTCTTTCTCTCATTCCTCTTTAGGTATCCACTGCTGCCTTCTTGTCTAAGAGGATCTTGACTGAGATTGATTCTGGCCTTTCTTCAGCTACAGCATGGACATTCTGACCTATGCAAGTGTGACACAGATAAAGCACTTACAACTGGAAATATTTACTGCAGAACTACATGGGAAAGACTGCCAAAACATACCTGGGCTTTGTCTGTGACTAATATAGAGGTTTCCCACCTAAGACACATTACCTTTCAAGATGATATGTAAAACTACCTTTAAAAAAAAAAATTAAATAAAAAAGCCACCATCCTTAAAATAGTAAGAAAGGAAAACAACAACAAATCCCCATATGAAGGTGCATACACTGCAGCATTGAGCTGTTTTGGATACTGATCTCATTGGATAATGATCTCATTTATCAGCTTCTCTGTCATGTACCACAGTTATCCTTCATTTACGGGTGTTGATAACATACATGCTAGCCATTGCAGATATAAGGCCTCCTGCCTTAGCACAATGCCATCAAGCAGCCCAAAAGGGTCCAGGGCTCTCCAGATCTCCAGTTTTCAATTGAGAAATTTACTTTCTGTTCTAACGATATGCTAAGATTTAGTCATTACAAATACAAATGAATTAGATTTATGCCCAGCAACTATACTTGTGTTTCTGTACTTGTCTTTTTCAAGAAAATATTTATGACCTCCTTTTGAAATGGAAAAGAGAATGTCAATGTTTTTAAAAGACAACTTTTTGACAAGTTAAACAAATACTATTTTTAAATAGCTCACAAAAAACCTTCTAGTGACTCAAGAAAACACGATCATTTGCTGCACATTCTAGTTTGAACTTTAGCTTCTCAAGGCTAGTTCTTGCAATTTAAACTATCTCAGCCTTTTCAGAGCTCTATTTTCACTGTAGTGAGATCATTATCTGCTGAACATTTCTAGAAAGCTAATATGATAGTTGCACACTTGCCAGTGTTATCCGTCTGAAGAATATTTTTATACTCATGTAACAAAGCCTCTAAAGCAGTTGCTGTGCACTATATAAATATAAATCAACAGCAAGAGCTTTGGGCAGTTTTATTAGTTTTACTCTCCCCCAAACTAAACTTTGCAATGCTTGCCCCCCCAAAAAACAACCAACAGCATATTCAACAGACCATTTTTCCAATATGCATTCAAAGCACACTCAAAATGCACAACCCACACCGTGCAACGTTTAATTTCAGTGACCAAAAACCAACCTGCTCAGACCCTGAGTAAGCTCCTACCTGCACCACCTGCCAACTTCTAATATCAAAATTGCAGTAAAGTAACTTAAATCTATGCTACAGAAGGAGACATCCATTTCTTAATATCTTCATTTTGCTTACATTCTACATCCTAACAACTGAGAAGTACGTATTAGCTAAAATTGTGTAAATATATAAACGTAAAATGAAATAAAAATATTTTATATTTAGCATTTACAGGATTATCTCTAATAAAATTCAAATACAAAGAGAAACTGAGTATGTTATAGTCTCTGACTTTAGGTAATTTTTTTCTTCCAAGTTTAGGCATAGTACATGGCTCCCACTGACGCTAGCAATAAAGGAAGGAGTTTTTCAGACGTGAGTCTGCAGGGAATACTCTTCAGAGTACAAATACAAATAAAAAAGGAAACCACAAGGTTTTTCGTGCCCCCAAGTTGACTTTTGTGACTCTATAATCTACACAGCAAGTATCACAACTTGCTTAGTAGACTGAATTTGAAGAATACAAAGTCAGACTTCACCTGAAAACAAACATTTATGTTGCAAGACAAGCATTTGCAGTCCAGTTTAAAGAAAAACAGAAATAAAAGCTTATAATGCAACAAAGAAGAAAATTAATCGCAGTTATATGTCAATACATGGTGGTTTCACTCCTTCAAACGTGACCAAAAGAATGCTTACAATGCATACTTTTCCGTATTTTCCTCATAAGAAAACACATTTTTCATACAATCCATAAAAAGCTTATTCATTTGATACTCAAACTCCTCCAATACTCAATCTTTCATTTTTCAAATGCAACAGATTACAAGTGAAAAGATTCTTCAAGATGAGAAAGAAGCAACTGTGACCATCCACACGAAGACACATCATTGGTCATGTCTGTGCTAGAAACACTCCAGCAAATGCACTCTCGCTTAGTCCAATCCCCATTCATCCAACTTGCATCTACAACAAGCAACCACTGAAGAACTATACACCTTAATATGGCTTTTTTTTTGCTTTGTGAGAAACTACCTTTAGTTAGAATCACATGAAGAAATCTGTTTGCATAAAAGATCTTCCATGCTTTCAATGTGAGAAATAATTGAATTTTGATTTGTCTTTCCCACATAGATTCAGCTAACAAAGGGATTCATTAAGAGCATTTCTGTAGAAGATTGTGTACTTGATTACAGTTTCAAAAGGAATTACAAAATGAGATCAATCAAGTAAATACTGTGATCTACAGCAATATGGATTCTCATTCAAAGACTTTTCCCCACACGGACTCCACTGTTAAGGACTTACCATAGGTGACAAATGTCCTTCGTTGTTGCTCAAACATGAAATCATTGATGTGAGCTGGCTCTGCATATCCAGAGAGCATATTTCTAGGTGCAGCCATTTGCTGAGTCCTAAATGGGTTTTCTGGTCCAAACTACACCAATAACATTAAAAGAAGTAAATCAGAGTTACTAATTTGTTATTTTTATGCATGAAAGAAAAGCAAACAAAAACAACAACAAAACAGAAACACAAAAAACGGGGAGAATAGTTATGTCTTTCAAAAAAGGTAACGATAAAGCCATGATAAGCCACCCCAGTTTTCGGTTTCTATTCCTTTAAGTCCACTGAATCAGTCTTAAATCACTATCACAGCCTGAACAGCCTATTTTATGATTGAACTTTCTAGCCTATATTACCACTACAGAAGACAAATCAGTATCAGCTACTTGACACAAAAGATTTCTATTCATTATGTGGTCAGTTCAAGCACATTCAGAACACAAAACTACAGTGTACTGTTCCTTATAAGGAACAAGTCCTATAAAACTCTTGTAGCTCATACAGAAATTACACTTCACATTTTCATGCATGTAAAAAGCAACTAGGGACTTGTTGTATTACTCTAGAATAAACACTTATGAAACTCTGCCTTGCTTTTTTCCTGCAAGATGACAAATGCTAAAGGCTTCCTGAACATAGCACAGACGAGCAAAAGTATTGAAACCATGAATGCAAACACATACAATACACAGATTAACATCAAACTACATTTATATGTAAGCACTGTGCTTGTCAATCACATTCACAGCCACCTGAGACTGTTCCACATTAGGCTTCTCTAACACTTACACAAGGTAAGACTGTAGTAATTTTAAATCAGTGTTTTTTCCTCACATACTTTATGGATTTGAAATGACCTGCTGGAAGTTGCAAACTGCTACCTTGCTAGGAAAGGATCAGTTTATATGGTTCCACAAAATGTTTTCTAAATGTGAAGTACAAACGATGCAGAAATTTTAGATTGAAGCAGGGTCATCTTAGCATGAATAATTCAAGGAACAGGCAGGCTTTTATCTACCTGGAATGCTAGCCTCTGATCTTACAACAGGCAAACTGTACAAAGAAGTTAAATACTGCAAAAAAGTTAAATGCTTGAACAGCTGTTTTCATCCTTTGGATAGCTGTCAGTTATAAAATCCTGTCAGTTACAAAACAGAAAGTGTTTCACATAGCACTAGACTATCCAACTTCAGCCTAAAGTGGTTTCCCACCCTACACATTAGAAAATCTTAACTTACTGAAACAACACTGGATGCGAATAGTTGTACTGGAAGTAACTAAGAGTTTGATTTCAAACCTTATAAACAATATATCTGCTAGATTTACAACAATTTATTATGCAAAGTGATGTGATGAGTAAATAGGAAAAATGTGAAAACAGTAAGAGACTACTTCAATGCTGTTTGTTTTACTCAATATTTTTTATGTTTTCCAAGCCTTAACTTTAAAGTTCTCATCCTGACAATCACTATTTCTTAGAACAGTTTTCCGCAGAATATTAAAATTCAAAATTAAAATTAGCACCTATGTACCTATCTATGGATAAACTTTTTACAGTTTGCACAAACTAGATTCCTAACTAGAGCAGGCATTCAAAGAAAATATGTCTTATTTGATTTCCACATGAGAATTACAGAGCCTCTAAGTGAAATAAATTTCTGCTGTAAATACCAGCATTGTTTCTTACCTCAGGTGCAAACATGGTCTCATAAGTAGGATTGTACTGAACTTCCTTAATAGCAGGATCAAGATGGACTCCTGTTTCCACATCTTCCTGAAATAAAACAGACATACAAGAACATCATTTTGCATATTCAGATTTTAAAATGTGTATTACTCCATTTCAGACCAAATTAATGCTGGGTTTCAGGTGGATGCTTTTAGTGCTATAGAAGGAGAAACACTGTTTGGCCACAGTCACTATTTAAAAAAAGGGAAAAGAAAAATTGCAAAAGAACACTTACATAAATCTTACATGGCTACTAGTATATTATTTCCTTAAAAAAAAAAGATTTATTGCATACACTTTAAAGACAGTAGCAAGATTAGAAGTAAGCTTTCTTTCACCCAGGATGTTTGAAAGCCAGACCTTCTAAAGAAGGGTCAGGTAAAATGGTCACCAATTTGATAACAAAGTGTGAAAGATAGATTTTTACAAAAGGAAAATGGCAGAAGTCACAAGTAACTGCTTCGAGAAATAGCCCCCAAAAAAAGAATCAGACATCAGAGCAAACACATATAACAGCAAGTTTTAGATAATCCAACAACCTCTCATCCCCACATTTTTACCAAAAGGTATAAATGTAACCCAGTTTCAGTTTTAAAACATGTCTCCAAGTCTGCTGAGACAACAATTTAACTTGACAGATGAAGAAAGAGGGGCTAACCAGAAGCATAACTTCTCTAACAACTCAAAGGGAAAAACTCAGAAGTGCGCACACAGCTGAAGTAGAAGAGAAGAGATAAAATGGGAAAGCAAAGTCTGATTAGGTGGCAGCGCTCAAAAAGCTTTGGCTTCAAAGAGTTCTACAAAGGCTCATTTACTTTGAGCCTAAATTGATGCTGTTTTCCCTCATCTTCCAATTAAGGGCTAAATTTCACACAGGAGAATGTTATTTTGTGGCATTGCTACAAGCATTGCTTCCTGCATCTTTATTCCCGAATAAAGGTATTTATAATGTGCTTGTATATTCATAATATTCCTAACAATTATCCTGAAGGTTGCCCAGCATCAGTATTTCATCAGTGCTTAGCTACAGCAGGATCCAAACATATCTGCACGTCACAGCTTCACCCTTACCACATACCAATTATTTTTACAGGCAGGTCCAGCCATTGTGCTGCTCCCACTGGAGCCATAGCACTGCCACTCTTTGCCTGACCTCATTTCTGTTGTCCCATAAACTTCCTGAGTTACTGGGTCTATATAAAACAGCTCCTGCCACATTCACAGCCCTGACGTTCAAATGTGGTGAACTTAGCCAGAAACAGCACAGCAGGCCTAATCCAGTCATTCAGCAACATGACAGACAACACCTCCGCACTCAGCTGGAATAGGAGCACTTCAAAACCATTTCCCAACCTACAATACCTACACACTCTTATTTCCTTGCACAGTTCTACAGCCCGAGGAAGTTTTGCTCTGCCAGGTAGACTTCAGGTCTTATCCACCAGTCTTATCTGAAGAAATGAATAATGTTGATAATATGGCAAAATGTATCTGGCCAACTATCAGTGACATTTAAACAGTTACTAGGGTTCCAGAAATTAAGGCATAGGGTTTTTTTTTCCTGTTCTTTCAGAAGTCAAAGAAATCCAGTTTTGCAATAATGCCAAGAATTGTTCCGTTCTGCTATTTTTCCTCCTCCCTTCTCTATGTTCAGTCCTATTACATGCCGTTTGGTAAATGAGAAAAGAAACAGATTGTGTCTTGAAAGCTGATCCTCTGCTGGATGATTATAGCAATTCTGGTTCTCCCTCACTGCTGGTGGAACAGCGCTGAGTCATTTGGAAGCTGCACAATATGTTCGCGCCGAGACCACCACAGGCATATCCCTTCTGCCTGAAAACCACTGAGCCTTGAAAGCAAAGCATGTGTCAGAGTTTTCAGAGCTATGCTCACCAGTTTCTGTACTTTTGAGCACCAAATGATGATTTGCAACTGTGCTGCTGCCAGAGGAGATCAGTTGTCTTTTTTGTGATGCCATCTCCCTTTAAGTTATATGGCAATTTGAACACGTCCCAAGCTCCCAGCTTCACCTGCTCAGTATTTTAAGCAATGGATACCCAGAGAGTAATACACAACGTATTCTGAAATGTTAGCCTAATTGAGGCAAATTATTCGTTCTTTGGTCAAGGTCTGATAAATGTCAGTCTGAACAACACTGAGGAACAGTCAGGTAACAAGCACTGAACATGTGCAGTGTCAAGACCCACCATCATTCACTCAGACCACCAATCATTTGACAAAGTGGCAAGCAAGCTGCACTGGGGGTGTTCTTTCTATGGAAGCAAAGAATGCAACAGAAACAAGAAGCCCCATCCTCTGCAGATGGCAAAGATCACAAGGCACACCGGTATACCTTATTTTACCTGAACTCGCCCTTCTGATATTGAGGAAGTGGGAAGTTTTAGGAGTTATATTTTATTTAATATGACTTTTTGAAAGACATAACCCAATGGTGCTGCAAACTCCAGGTCCCCACGTTCTCTCTGCCTACCTTGGTGCAGGTAACAAAAGCTCAGCTGTGTGCAGTGGCAAGGTTGGGCACTATATACCATGTAAGACACACGTGCTACTGGAAAGGGTCCAAAACATAATATCAAGAACAATCAAAGGCATAAGAAAATACGACGTGAAGAAAAAATTGACCAACATGATTTGGCCAAAAAAAAAATAAATTCAGATTATAGAACTTAACAGAAGCCAAGTACAGCAAAACAGTGAAACTGCAGCTTGTTAATCTACTGAAGTTTGGTAAATACAACTTAAATGAGTGTGTGCCCAGATGACAGATGTATCACCCTTGATACAAGGCAAAAATGGAACAGATGACATCAGGGAAGCACTTAGGGCATTCTCTCTCTCCTTGTCTCTTATAACACGACTGCTACTTCTGCCACATCAGGTTGATTTATAGTTCAGATGTTATTTGGTTAGATATATAAAAATGCTTTGATTCTTAAATGCTTTCCCCTTTTACCTGTTCTCTGTTGTGTTTCATCCCACAACACTACATCACACGCTGTCAGAGGAAGGGCACTTAGGGCTGAACTCTGGAGCATCAGCATTTCCTAAGGAATCTACCTGGAGGCATACAGAAGCTAAGCAGAGACAAGCAAGCGCTTCATTCCAGCTCCCCAGACATCACAGACTGTCTAGCTGCTGCCAAGGTGCCCTCTCTAAATCCTACCATAAAGATCCTGTGGCCACTTTAAAGTTAGCAGAGATAAGAGCATGGGAAATACAAGGGATTTTAAAGCATAAGTATAGTAAACCAGATTAGATTTCCTTTTTATGGGCTCCTTGCACATGCCAGTCCTTCTTCAGGAAAAATATACCTGAGTACCATAAAAAAAACCCATTACAATCCATGAAAGACACTTGATTCGTAAAATGCAAGATAGTTCAACAATAATAATAACAACAACAACAAAATCTGGAAAATGCATGTTAAAAGTTTCTTTTATAGGCTTGCAAGACAAAAATATCCTTGATTTAAACGCAGATCAAATTCCTGAAGAACAATCCTAAATAAAAGCAACAAACTACAGTATGGATGCAGCTCATTTTGTTCCTTTGTAATAAGATAATGTTGCTTAGTGCAACTCACAATTCCTTTAATCGACAATGTTTTTAAGTTTCAGCCAAATGTTATAATCCTCATTGTGCTAGCATGTGGCTGCCTTCAAGTTTAGTGAGAGCTGTCAATGTACTTAAGAAGCAGAATTTGACAAATTTCAACCATGTGTCTAAAGTTGATGTTTAATAGAAGCAAAAGTCATAGCTTTTTGGTTTCATATCTTCCAAGCAAGAAGTTGTGATATATAAGTGGGTTGTCTTTTCTGTTGGACATTTTAGACAACAAAACTCACATTTCCTTCTCTCCAACTAAATTCACTGTTAATTATCCAATAGCTAAAATGTACAGTCGACACTGCACAGAATTTAATTAGCTTACTTACTTTTTAAAATTAAAATACACTAAATTAAGGCCCCATACCATAAGTTGCATGGGCTTAAGCAGTTTGTTACTTACCCATTCTTACATAAATCTCTTGGCCTGTCAGGTAAACAGTGTGCTCTCCTCCCATACATTTTTAGATTTATTAACAAGAGATGAATGACATTTATAATAAGGCACCAACATAAAGATTTGGTTCTTACCACCTCTTAGTGCGTGTGAATGAGTAAAATGACTAACAGTACATGTTCATCCCAATGACTTGGAAATAATAAAATTAGACTGGCAAGAAAAGCAGATGTCAAATAGTTTTGTTAAGCTATGCTAGATATCCTGCACCTTGCATTCTGTACAACATATTTTGTGACAACAAATAGAAAAGAACACAACAACAAAAACACGTTAAAAGAAGTCAGTGTCCCTAACAGACCACCCCACAAGTCATTAAACTTCATTATTGCTATCCCATGGTCACACAGTGACTGTGCGCCTTTCCTCTCCACAATTGGGCAAGAAACAGATTTTAAAGAACATTAAGAAATGTGAATGAAGTCTACTTTTTTCCCTTGAAGTTATATTTTTCTGGACACCTACAGTTCCAGTACCAGTTCCAACAGATAAATAAAAAATAGACTTAAGACTCCTAACCCCTTCTTACATTAAATAGAGAACTTCCGGTTTCTGCAGTGGCTCAGCCCAGTTGATTTCAACTTGCTGAGCATCCTTCTCCTAAAAACAGGGAATGAGACACTGTAGGTAAATAAGGAACTGTTCCCATCCAAGTCTCACCCTGAGCTGACACAGATCAGACAAAGAATAAATATTATCTCCCAAAGCAATAGTTGTAACTGCAACACTTCATGTAAAACTGATTTCTTCACAGGATGTGTAATTTCCTACATTTCCTTCAGCATTTTTAATTCCCTAATTCACAAGTTTGCAAGCAACCATAAGATGAATTTTTTTTTCTATCAATAGAAGCTGATGTTAAAGACCAAGTAACTGAGTCTCTGTGTTCGAGTGCTTCACACAACATTCTTAATTTACTCCCCCAAAAAAGGCCAACACATAGACACCATACTTAGCCAGCCTCTGGATATCTAACAGCAGGTGGGCTCCAGATCATCAGACTTTCACTAGGCAAACATATTCTGTGTTTCTCCTCAGTCTGTTAGTCGTAACAGCGTCAGAAGTCCTGTACACAGAACTGGTTGCTTTAAGAACCTTGCTTGTCATACCAAGAGGGTGGTTCACAAGAGATACTGCATAAAGGTGGTACCTGCTTCTTATCGTAACTGCACCAAATCTCACCACAAAACTGGTTAAAGAAAAAACATCCATAAAAATCCCTCAAGCTACACAACAGGATGGTGTCTGCTCAGCCAGTGCAGTCACTGTGGAGTCACTTTGCGCAGCTCTGCTCCCACCACAAGTGCAGGGACCTGCCATATCTCACACACAAAGTGAGAAATGGACCTTCTCCTTTGCAGGAATTGCCACTGCCAGCAAGGAGTTGACAAGAGTAGCACATATGTCAACAGTCAAACAAACTGACACAAACTGGAATTCACATGACCCACTTATTTATCACGGGGTTTCTACCTGAAAGAAACACCATTCTTTTGACAGAATGGAGAAGTGGTGAATCTCCACTTGCTTCCTGCAGGAGCTGAGGGTACCACATTACATATGTCCTGTTACCATGTGCTGTACCTTGGGGTGACCGCAGCTGCAGAGAAGGTAGCTCCCAGCCCCTGCTAATAGCAGCTGTGCTCCCCTTCCTTCACAAAACAGCTTTTGTCAACAACACTGTCATGCTTACTCAAAAAACACCAATAGAGATCAGATAGGAAAATATCTTGACTTATTTATCCATGTTCTCCACAAAAGAAAGCAGCAGCCCTACAGTAACTCTGCACTCCCAGGAAAGCAAGAACAGGGCAGGTATAGAGGATACTTTTTCTGCACCCTCCCAGTCTCCAACTATTTGCAGTGCGGAAGACTCGATGAGCTCGACGCAATCTGTGTATCTACTAACACCTCTTCCTTCATCAAATCTCCTCCAAGCACTTGTCCAGACTCTACTTGTGATAACGTAAACTTCTAGCACAGGCAATATGCCTTGGCACTGGATTAGCCCTACTACATGCCACTGGAAGAACGGCACCCATTTGTTTTAAAACTGGCTCCTACCAGTTAGCTTAGATCTCCTATAATGGAAGAGGCAATAAATATTCAATCCCCTCTGCCATCTAAAATTTCATAGGTCTGAGTCACACTTTTCACCTCAGTTATCTCCCTCCCAGTTTTGGCCTGTTCCCTAACCCCTCACAAAGCAGCACTAACTTCACTCAACCATGCTGTTCTTCTATAGTGCCATTTTTCAGACAAGTTCCCACTGAGGAGCTTCAGGCCACCGTGAGGCTTCCTTTTAGCCTTCTCTGCTCTGGGCCAAACAAGCCAAGGGACCTCAGTCCCTTATCATGCAGATTTTCCACCATCTTCACAGCTCTCCTCTGGACAATCTCTAATACTTTCATGTCTTTCTACATCCTTCTGTGTCCTCTTTATGTCCCATCAGGTGCCCAAACCTGCACACCTTAGGGCTATTTGATAAGCATGGTTAAGTAACAGTAAAGAAAAAAAAACAACCAAAAATACTGTCATTAATTGAGCTAACCAATACACTTTGCAAATAGAGTGAAGAATCCATTTGTCTTTAACGTTCAAGTCTGAAGTCCGTGCAAGTTAAGATATAATTCTCAACAAGGAACAGGTACAACGATTAGCATTGGTGTGAAAAACCTGGATACTTAGGACTGACATTCTCAGTAGCCAGAACCACAGTCATGTGTGGCTGCCATTCACATTATGTGACTAACCCTTCACCCTCCCCTCTTATAAGCATCTCTTCTTACGCATTTCCAGTTCCTTGTGTACTGCCTATCCATGCACTCAGGAGTACTTGACCCTTATTCGTGTCAAAACAGCACTTGCACAAGTAAAGCGATACTCATGAACTGTAACCCCGCT